TCTTAAAGTTCTGATGTTTTTCTTGTTTTACAAAGTCTGTTTAAATGAAGACCCAGGGCTTAGCTGGTGTCTTGCTTCTGGAAGCCAGTAACAGCAAAACACCGAGAATTCTGATGGGTCTCCCCAGAACACTGGAAAAGGCACTAGAAGTCCCCTGCTGGCTTGGGCTTAATTGTTGGTGGTTTTCAACACACAACTTCCCCTTAGGCATGACAACACCAGAAGCCTTTCATAGTTTGAGAGGACAACAAATGTTCCAGTGAAAAATAAGACGGAGAAGAGAGACATAAGTTCCTGTGCCCCGATCACGGTCAGGCTTTGCTCTGAGTATCAGAAGCACTGGGTTGAAGCTGAGCCTTGCCACAGACTGCCTGGTGACCACAACCTCGGTTTCTTTGCTGAAATAAGGGAGTGTTCTGCACTCACTTTCAAGGTGTAGAGTTAATAAATGGCAGTGCAAGTAACCACGTATTAGTAGACTTGAATTAAGCTACTCTTTGTGAAAGGAAGGAGTGCTGATGAGTAAGGCTCAGTGTTGACTATTTTGCTTTGATCTATCCCTAGAAAAGAAGCCAAGTACTGCACAGACCTGCATGCACATGCTATTATTCAGAAATGAAACACTTCCTAATTTAGAAGGCCGTCAGTTCCTACCCACCCAGTTCCCCGGGTGAGACATAAGCAGTCTCACCCAGGATAATGCGGATGGGGTTAGGACAGCAGGTACCAATCAGTTCACTGAGCTTCTCACTGACATGTAGTTTCCCTGCATCTTATTATCTTTGTGAATTCGATTTAGACTCTATTCACTCTGCTCCTTCCCCACCCTGCTCTCTGGTCAGGTAGGGGAAAGGGAGGCACAGATTCTGGTCAGGCACCAAGAGTGTGAGTCAAGAACAGAGAGGAAATAAGACTCAGCAGCCCTCCCTTCAGCCTAGAGGCACTTCCTCTTCCTAGAGGTTTTCTAATTGGCTTCCTCTAATTCCTATTTTCTTACCACAAAAGTATATCATCTCAGAAGAACCAAGTTCTCTTCCGGTAATTGAGAGGAAAGAGAATGCAAATGAATGAGGTTTTTTGTTTTTTTAATCATTTTAACCACGATCTTCCATCATTAATTTAGGAACTAATCCTTGAGTATCTAGTTGTTGATGGGAAAGGAAGAAAGTGCTCCACTTTTATCTTCTGCTTGCTTTGTTTTGTTTGTTTTTTGGTTTTTTGAGACAGGGTCTCACTATGTAGTTGAGACTGACCTGGAACTCATTATGTAGCCCAGGCTGGTCTTGAACTCACAGCGATCCTCCTGCCTGAGCCTCCCGAGTGCTGGGATTATAGGTGTGCTCCACCACGCCCGGCTCTTCTGCTTACTTGGAATAACTTGATGGGTCTCAGCTGAGATTTCCAAACTTTACTCAGAGTATATTTATTTCATTCACAGTGGTGAAACAAGTTTCAAAAACCAACCAGGGCTAGGAATTTAGCTCAGTGGCACCACGCCTGCCTTGCAAGCACAAGGTCTTGAGTTTGATCCCCGATATAAAAAAAAAACCAAAGCAAAACAAAAAACAAAATAACCAGTAACCACAGAGCCAGACATTAAAGCACCCCAAAGATGAAAAACTGCAATGATGTGTTACAAGAGTATGGCAAGTTTTACTCCAGTTATCACAGTGCCATATGCACAGCAGATGCCTAATCAATCAATTTTTAAGACCTAGGGAGAGGGAGGCCTGTTAAGCAGTATGATTATAGAGGGTGCTATTGAGAAGCCATCATTTTTCTTGAGGATCAGTGAAGAATTAGACACCGCAGACTAGGTTCCTAGGTGGCAAAATACCAAGGAGCAAGAGGGGAATTTACTCCAAGGAGAAGTGGGCACTAGAGGTAAAAATCAGGAAGACATTTGCAAACGACTTCTGCAAAATACTTCAACATTTACTGAGCCTTTTCCATGGGCAATAAGTTGGGATAGCAGCTCTAGGGGACACACAGAGGAACCAGAGGGGTCCCTGCCAGACTTCAGGGGCACGAATGAAAGCAAAGCTAAAAGGAGGCAGTCTATGATACAGAAGGAGTTGGCAGCAGCCCTGCAGATAGGGAAATGACCCTCTGAGCAGGCAAAGGTGAGTGGAGAAGCAGAGGAGGAAAACAAAGATCTGTATTCAGGGCAAGCTAGGCAATGGCATGGTTTGACTGGCTTGACTAGCTTGAGAGAAAGAACCCTTGAATGCTAGACTAAGCAGTTTAAACTCTGGTTGGAAGGCAGTGGGGAGAGCATGAATGTTTTCAAGCAAGGGCAGTGGTATAATTAGAATCATGCTTTGGACAGATAAACCTGGTGGCCATATTTATGCTGAATTTAACTGGGGATATCAATGAGAAGGCTGTGGTTAAAAGTCCATGTGAAAGTTTTTTTTTTAATCCTTTTTTTTTTTGGTACCAGGATCGAACTTAGTCCCTTACACTTGCAAGGCAGGTGGCAGAACCACTGAGCCAAATTCCCAGCCCGTGTGAGCGTTTTTAAAGGCTTCAATTGCGATGGTAGTAATGGGAACTGAAAACACAGAGGATCTCACTATGTAGTCCAGACTAGCCTCCAACTCACTATGTTGGGTAGGCGTAGGCTGATCTTGAACTCTCGGGGATCTTCCTGCCTCAGCCTTCTAAGTGCTGGGATTAATCTGCAAGGATTTTAAAGAGTTCCTTGCCCCATTATTAAAGGCAATACTTTCTTCACAGCACGACTATTTGTAAAAGAGAAAAACTGAAACTGACTGTCAACAGTAAAATGGTTTGTCAAGATGAAGCCAGGACAGGCTGGGCTACATAATGAGACACACCCCCAAAAAGCAGTAGTAAAATGGATACACACTATAGAACATTATGGAGTCATGGAAATGAATGAAATAAAACTACATGCAACAACATGGTATACGTGCCGCCGAAGTGAGTACTACACACAACAACACGGATCAACCTCATGTAATGCTAAAAGAAGCCAGACACATGACAGTCACCCTGAAGGACTCCAATTATATAAACTGGGTTTTTTGTTGTTGTTGTTGCTATTTTTTGGGGTTTTTTTGTACTGTGAATCTAACTTGGACCTTTGCGCTTACAAGGCAGGTCTGATACCACTGAGCTAAATCCCCAGGCCCCATTTATACAAAATGTACAAAGACCAAATGAGTCTATCCCATTAGAAGACTAGATATGGGGATTGAACCCAAGGCTTTGCACACGCTAAGCACACGCTCTTCCACTGATCTACACCCCTACCCAGAAACTAGCATTTTAATTCGGATCCTCAAGTGACAGTACGGCCCATTCAAGTTTCAGAAGTACTTCCATAGCCCATTAACAGGGAAGAGAATACAAGGCTCCCAAGTAGCTGTCCTTTCAGCTTTCTCAGCCTTGAGATTGCAGAGGTTGGGAGAGCTCCTTCAGGAAAGTAATGCAAGATGAAACAAGGATCTTCAAATGAGAATGAAGTTCCAACAGTGTGATTTCATGACTTGTCCAGAAGTAGCGTTATACAGGGAGCACAATGGAAAAGACAGGCACCACAGGAAGAGAATGAAAGAATGTGCACTGCTCTCATGCATGCTTTGAGCAGCGGAGGTGGAGGAGGGGAGCAACAGAAGCCAGGCGGGAGGGGCACTAGAGGCCTTGGCTTGGAAGGGACAGCCCTGAGAACTGGTCAAGGAATTGCTGGCTGGGTTGAGGGAATGGGGCAGGTATGGGGATTGTGGTCCACCTTTAAAATCTGAAATCCTGAAACGAAAGTAGTTTTAAGTACTCTAAAAGATCCAGGTTGGCTATCTCAAGGAAGCCCTGAACTCATCAGTATAAGTTCAGAATGAGAACAAAACGTGAATGGAGTTGTAATCTGTGTGATAATATGCCCTGTTGACATTTGTAAAGCACAAACTGTTCAATACTAATTTCCAAACATAAACTTCCTTTGGCATATCTGTGAACAAAAAGGATCACACGGTTGGCTGTAAAAAAGCAAAAAAGCAAAAAGCTTTTATCTGTGTAAGGCAGCAATCCTTCTTTAAACAGTCTCTTCAGAATCAGAACATGGTCTGATCAGAGTTTATTTCTTTAGGAGCTAGAGATCAGAGAGCTTGGCTTGGAAAAGACCCATTTCATCAAGGATTTGACCACTCCTGCCAGAATGGACTAAGAGCCAAAGGTTATGACCTTTAGTTTGAGCCAATAACTATTATCAGGAACACAGCTTCCTGGAACACAAATTTTCTTCTGATCACAAGCAAGCCTTGCATAGAAGTCTGAGTGTACAGCTATGTGAATAACACTTTATGGTATACAGCAAAGCCCTATTTAAACTGACTTTTTATATGAATTTACTTACTATGGTTGCATAATAGAATACACGAGGAAGAAGTGGTAGAGACTAAATGAACAAGTAAGTTTTCATTTTTTGTCAGGTTAAAAAAAAGCATTTTGCAAGTTTACAGAGAATGATCCTTCTTTATTTATTTATTTATTTAGTGGTACCAGGGATCAAACTCAGGACCGTGCGCTTGCAAGGCAAGCACCATGCCACCTAGCTAAATCCCCAACCAAATCCTTTAAAAAATGGGTGTATATGTACAGAAAAATAGGAATATATGTATATAAAAACAATAATAATTGACTGTTCAGCTGTGGGAAGATGACAGAAAAAAAATATAACCCTTAGATTCTAGAGCAAGGTCACTGAAAAGAGGAAAAAATAAAAATAAAAAATGATTTATTTCAGCTAGGTGTGGTAGCACACACCTGTAATCCCAGTACTTGGGAGGCCCGGAGGCTGAGGCAGGAGGCTTGCTGGGAGTTCAGGACAGGCTGAGATACATAGTGACTTCAAGGTCAGCCTGACTACATAGTGAGACTCTGTCTCAAAAAACAAACAAACAAAAAAAGAGAATGATTTATTTCTAAAGAAACAGTAATACAGTTCATCTTAGGTAACAAGTCTGGGTGAGACTTACCTTTTCGGAGGCTTGCCATAGCCATCGCCAAAGGGGCCTGTTTTGTGAGGGTGAAAGCTCTATCCCATTCTCCAGCCCAGGACTCCACAGTGCTCCAGAAGAGCCAAGTGGCCAGAACTGTCAGGGAATTCCATTGTCACCCAACATGACACGGATGTTCTCATCTATGTAGTCATAGAAAGACTTTAAATATTTAGATGTGGGCTTAATTTGGTAATAACAGTCTAGCCTAGTTGAGAGTGGTAAGGCCAATTTGACCTGGCCTCTTGAAAATGAATTTCTCTAACATATTAGATATCAAAGTCCCTACTAGTGGGTCTCCCAAGTGTTTGCTTCTTAGATGTGATTTTAAGTAGCACCAGAACGATTAAGTGGGGTAAGCATTTCAATGTAGTTGAACTCCACATTAAATTTCTTGTTAGAGCTACCAAAAACCCTTCATGTTATTATTATTATTCTTACTATTAGTTTTGGTCTCACTATGCAGTTGAGACTGACCTGAGACTCACTATGTAGCCCAGGCTGGTCTTGAACTCATAGCATCCTCCTGCTTCAGCCTCCCGAGTGCTGGGATTACAGGTGTGCGCCACCATGCCCAGCTTGTTCTTTATAAGAAATTATGGTTATCTTAATAACTCAATCTTTTTGATAAGTATTCATCTGAGTGCACTCTAGTGCACTATTTTTAGCTGTTAGCTAGATAGTTGACTTCCTGTTCATCCAGTTCCCAGTTGAAAGCACACTGTGTATGTGGCAGTCTCTGGAAGTGCCTGTCAGATCAAATGTTGCTGAGAAAGAACAAACTTGAGTAGAGAGGACTTCAGGAAACCTTGAGACAGCATAGAATGGAGATGATGTGAAAAAATTAAAGACTGTTTCTCAAGATTTATTACATTTGCTTATCTGTGTTCTCTTGTTTTCTTTCTCCATGATTTTTTTGGTTGGGGGGTACCAGGGATCAAACTTGGGACCTTGTGCTTGTGAGGCTGGAGGCCAAACAACTAAGCTAAATCCCCGGCCCTCTTGTGTTTTCTTTTATCCTGCTATCTTCTCTGCCTTCCCCTCGGCAGATCTCCAAGTGGAACTCTGTTTATATGGTACAGGTTTAAACTGACCACTTGTCACTGGCTGGGACAGGGCAGGGAGAAAGTAGTTTTCTTTCCCTTCTCCCCCTTTCCCTCCCAAGTGTCAAAACTTCCTTCCTAATTCTGTCTCCTGTAGGGCTGCCAGGTGGTACTAATGCCTCCTTCCTAGTATCCCTTCTCTCCTTTCATCCTCACTCACGATAGCCAGACCTCACAAATATAAACACAGGATGCCTGCTAAATGTGACTTACAGGCCAACAGTACAGCAGCACATCCCTGCAACATCTGAAGCATACTTCTAAAAATTAATTCAAATTTTCCTGAGAGTCCTGTATTTCATCTGGAGACCTTGCTCCTTCCTTGTGGGCTCCAGGAGCTGCCTCGTCTCTTCACTGGAATTCCAAATGCTCAGGCCTGCATCCCACTATTCCATCAGGGGTGCGTTTCCATATTGTCGATCGTCCCCACGAAAACACCTTCCAATGCCTTTTAGCCTGTCAATTCTGAACTGATGAAGGACAGGCAGAGATACCAGATGTGGGCTCCATTTAGCTTCTCCCCAAATGCCCCAATGATTTAGATTTTTAAAAATTTTTTCTTAGCAAATGAAGATGCCCCATGGTGGACCAGAATTCAGGTGCTTATATATAATACACTCTTCTTTCTACCCCTGCTTTAGAATGAAACTATCAGGAGCTAGGTACAGTGGGCCTTTAGTCTCAGCTGCTCCAGAGGCTGAGGCAGAAGAATCTGTTGAGTCCAGGAGTTCAATATTAGCCTAAAAAACACAGCAAAAACTTATCTCAAAAAAGGTGAAGAAGCATGAGCTGGGCGTGGCGGTGCACGCCTGAAATCCCAGCACTCAGGAGGCTGAGCCAGGAGGATTGCTATGAGTTTAAAACCAGCCTGGGCTACACAGTGAGTTCTAGGTCAGTCTCAACTACATAGTGAGAACCTGTCTCAAAAAGAACAAAAACAAAAACAAAAAACCAAACCAAACAAAACAAAATAAAAAGGTGAAGCATGAAGCTATCCGGAAAAAAAACTAATGTGAACACTAATGATACTTTTAAAGTATCCAAGGACAGTTAAAAATAAGTGAAAGACCTGTTGGAGCTAGACCAAGGGATCAGTAATTGCATAGAAGTGCAGAGAAAAACTTCGTATAAAGAATAAGGCACCCTGCAAGTGCGAGGACCTGAGTTCGATCCCTGGTACCAAAAAACAAAAACAACAACAAAACCAAAGAATAGGGCACCCTAGCTGATGAGGTAGTCCCAGCGCAGTCCTAAGAGAATGAACTCTGGCTTTTCCCATAAGATTTTCTCTTTATTGGGTCTGAGAAGAACAAGAGGAGACAGGATAAATTCGGGAGAATGCCAGAGGGAAGGACAGAGGATTTTAAGAGTACTTTTAGGTACTTCTAAAGAATATCCCCTTTCTGAGTAAATCCCCCTCCCAGTTTCAAGCGGCAGAATCAATGCCCTTTCAAAGCCTTCCCTGTTCATGACGTGAAGAATTCTATCAATCTAGAGCACAGTTTTGTTTTTTTGGTAGTACTGAGTACTCAATCCAGTCCTTCACTTTGAGTTACATCCTCAGCCTTATTTTTACTATCATATTATTATTACTACTTTGTAGCACTGTGAATTGAATTCAGGGCATTCATATTGAGCTACCTCCCCAGCCCTTTTTTAAAATTTTGAGGCAAGTGGCTAAATTACCCATGCTGGGTCATCCTCCTGCCTTAGCCTTCCAGAGTGCTGAGATTACTGGCATGTGCCACCACCCCTGGCTTATTTTACTTATTTCTAAATTTTGAAACAGGGTCATGCTAAATTGGCCAGGCTCAAAGTAGGGATCCTCCTGCCTCAGTCTCAGTGTGGGAACTACAGGCGGGTGCTGCCACCCCTGGCTAAGTACACAACTTCTTAAAGAATTCCTTTTTCTCACTGTATTTCAGACCTTGCTTGACAGGTAGCTTTTGTTTCAGGTCAGTGAGGAGAACACAGACAGGCAGCCTAAAGTGCTCTTCTCCCTCAGGGTCACTGGCAATGTGACTTACTCAGAGCAGCCCTGCAAGGTTCCCCCATTCCTGGACAAAGGACAGATACACCTCAATTAACCATAACAGAAGTTACAGTGTAAAAGAATTCTTTAAAAATGTAATTTCTGCTGGGTGTGGGGGTGCACGCCTATAATCCCAGCACTTGGAAGGCTGAGGCAGGAGGATCCCTGAAAGTTCAAGGCCAGCATGAATTACATAGCGAGACCCTGTCAAAAAAAAATAGGAATTTTCTCTTTGTTCTCTGAGCTGGTGGGTGTCCCATGATACTTGGACCCTAAGAGGTACTTGAGTTCACTTAAATGCGTAACGGTAACATTTTTAAACCTAGAGGTGGGATGTGCTGTCCATCTGTTACTATGAACTACTCCAGTCTAAATCGCAGTGTCCACTGGGAGAAGGAATGTTTGAGTAGGAATCCAGGAGGAAGGCTCTGGCTGAAACATCTCCCTAACTAGCAGTGGGGTTCAGGGAAGGAGAATCATCTTTTTGGGTCTGTCTCTCATCTCTACAAAGTGACCACTGGACTTTATGGCCTTTGAGGTTCACCCCAGCTCTAAAATTCAGGATCTTTCCCCATCTCTAAGTGCTCCTTCTCAGGAAATTTCATGAGGCTTTGGGGTGAGCTTTTAATAAATTGTTCTTTTGCTTGCTGAAAGCAAAGTTTTCTACATATCTCAGGGTCCTTACAGGTAAATATATGCAGTCTACAGAGTTAAATATATAGTTTTTGAAATTTAGCAAATAAGCCGATTGGATGAATGAGAGCTTTCTGATTCTTGGCACCTTTCAGTGCTCTCCACTAACAAGCACTTTCCTAGAAAACTTCTTCTCATCTGGAGTGCTGGCGCTGAGTCAGTAAATGGGTAAGATGGAATAATCTCTCCTGGATATTTTTTTCTGCATTGTGTCTCTGTGAATAAAACCTTACTTGTTTCATATAAATGAAGTGATTGTTTATTTCTTGCAAATAATAATCTTTTCTATGCTATCATGGGTTTTTTTTGTTTTGTTTTTGAGACAAAGTCTTACTATGTAGTTTAGGCTGGCCCTGAACTCAGAGTGATCCTCCTGCCTCAGCCTCCCAAGTGCTGGAATTACAGGTGTGCACCCCCATGCCTGGACGCTGTCCTGGTTTTGAGGTATATCTGTGTGCATGTCACTGCACTGATTTTAAGTGTTCAGTATAATTAATTTTTTTTCCCCCCTGGGGACTGAACCTAGGAGCATGCACGTGCTATGCAAGTGCTCTATCATCAAGCTACTACATTCCCAGTCCTGTCCTGTTTTTCATTTTGAGACATGGTCTTGTTTGAACTTTCCATCCTCCTCTCAGCCTCTAAGTAGCTTGGATTATGCATTGCACCAACTCAGTGCAATGAATTTGGGTTAATGTCCACATGCAGCTTTGTTATCATTACCCAGATCATATACTGGACTCTCTACCACCCGCAGGAAGTTCTCGATGTCCCTTTCCTTGGGCAACCACTATTCTGATTTTTATCACCATACCATCTGTTTTTTTGTTTGTATTTGCAGTACTGGGGATTAAACTTTGGGCCTTGAAGATTCTAGGCAAGGGCTCTACTGCTGATCTACATCTGCAGATCTAGTTTTGCCTGTCCTTGAATTATTAAATCATACTGTAAGGGTAAGGAAGTATCATAAACGGCAGACATAAACATTTTCAGCTAAAGCTAGGGCCAGTGAGATGAGCTCACTAGCAAGGGCTACAAAAAAGAAGCAACTATTAAAATTTAGTCATGTTATTAAAACTGATTAAGCCAGGCATGGTGGCGCACGCCAGTAATCCCAGCACTCAGGAGGCTGAGGCAGGAGGATCACTGTGAGTTCGAGACCAGCCTGGGCTACACAGTGAGTTCCAGGTCAGTCTCAACTAAATAGTGAGACCCTGTCTCAAAAAACAAACAAACAAACAAAAGATTAAATAAAAAAAATTTGTATACTTCAGAAATTCCTCACAGCAAGTGATGCAATTAATACTGTTCAAAGCTGGGTGCTGCAGTACATAACTGTAGTCCCAGTTATTTGGGAAGCTGAGGCAAGAGGGTCACGTAAGCCTAAGAGCTCAGGGCCAGTCTGGGACACTCACTCTCTCTCTCTCTCTCTCTCTCTCTCTTTTGGTACTGGGAATTGAACTTGGGTCCTGTTCTTGCGAGGCAGAAGCCGGAACCACTGAGCTAAATCCCTGGCCCCAAGATTCCAACTCTTTTAAAAAAAAGTTCACAAAATGTTGATGCAATTTGAAAGAGTATTTGTAATTGGAATATAAAATGAAGCAGCAGCAGTTCGTGGCCTAGAAGGTGAAGTGTGAAGCAGCAAAACAGATACCAGAAGCACACAAGCTAAGCGGAACCGTAGGACTGCAGGAGCAAAGCTTCCTCCGCACTGACCACTTCTGGGTTAGCCTCTAACACGAGCGTCGGGGAATGCGGCCAGGGACAGTAAACTTTTGCTTCAGGGCAGAGGAAATGCCCTAAACAAGCATGGACTTCAGAGCTCTGCCAGCAGCCAAGAGAGCGGGTGAAGGCAAACTCAGCACAGGGTGAGGAGGGGTCTTCACACCTTCCGCTGGAGGCACAGCCATTTGGTTGGCACTTCATAGGAGTACCTTTCCACCAGGTCTTCATCATACGGTATGTGCCAGGAGTCTCCGGTTGTCTGCACGATCGTATCATAGCAGGGACTATGCTGTTGAATGAAAAAGAGAGCCAAACAGTGAAAGTAATAGTTAAAGGTCTCCTGTCACCTGCATGGTTTCCCTTTCTTTTCAGAAAACTTGTCAGCTTGCTTTGGAGGAATACTCCCTATCTTAGTTAACACTGGAGTTTCATTTATTTTATTTTTTTTTAATAGTACTGGAGTTTGAACCCAGGGCTTTTGGACTAGACTACACCTCCATCCCTTGTTTATTTTTTAAATTTTGTATGTTTCTGTGACAGGGTCTCAGTATGTATTTCCCAGGTACTATATAATTCAGGTAGCCTTGAATTCACTATGTAGCCCAGGCTGGCCTTCAACTTGCAGAAATCCTCTTGCCTCAGCCTCCCGAGTGCTGGGATTACAGGCGTGCATCACCATACGTGGCCAACAGTGGATTTTCAAAGAGTAGCTAACTTTGTGAAGACAGCATCAGAAGATGGGTATGAAAGGCTCCTTTTTGGGCAGGTTCATTTTCAAGGTTAAGGACCTTGAATATCCTAGGGGCATCACACTTACAAGTTATAGAATCCTCTTGTTGCCTTTATTGGCTTTATGTGTGAAAAATTTCAAGTATACTAAAGTAGAAAATTAGTAATAATGAACTCTCACGTGCCCATCACCTAGCTTCAACCTCAACTCATTTATAGCCAACCTACTCAGCCATGCCCCACCCTCCCTATCCAATATTATTTTAAGTAAATCCCGCATCTCACTTCTGAATTATTTCAGTGTGTAACTGGAAAAGATAGAAGATTTATTTTGCAAATGTAAGAGTACCATCACTATTACACATAAAAAGTAATGATTCCTGGCTGAAGGAACAGCTCAGCTGCAGAGCAAGTGAAAGGCACCAAACACAACAAAAATAATGAAACAGAAGAATTAGTTTGTGTTTTCGCAATTATTACACTTGTATACATATATTTTACAGTTCTTTTGTTTGAATAGGAATTAAAACAAGGTTATTACACATGATAGGTTGAGATATCTCTTAACTCTACTAATATAGATTGTCCTTTCCCATCCCTATTTTTCCTTTTTGTTGTTGTTTATGAGGAAACCAGCTCAGTTGTCCTGTATCATTTCCTCTGATACAGTCCTAATTTTGTGGATGGAAGTTCTTTGGTATCACTTCGATATGGTATTTCCTATAAATTTGCTTTGCATATTTTTGTTTTTAAAATCAACAAGTGAAAATTACTTATATTTACTGTGTATATGGTATCTTGAAATATGTGTATGTTGTGGAATGGCAATAATGAGCGAATAAATATTTAAGATACCTCATCATTTTATCATTTTTTGTTGAGAAAACATTTAAAAATCTATTCTCTTAGCAATATTTGAGAATACAAACTGGGAGGCTGAGGATTTAGCTCAGTGGCACCAAGCCTGCCTCTCAAGTGCAAGGTCATGAGTTCAATCTTGGTACCCAAAACAAAACAAAAGGAAAAGAATATAAGCTGGGTGCAGTGGCCCACTCCTATAATTCCAACCTTTGGGTGAAAGAGGAAGGAGGATTGCCAGTTCAAGACCAGCCTGGTCTACATAGTGAGTTCAAGGCCAGCCTGAACTATAGAGTGAAACTGTCTCTGGCTAACACTCTGCATGCTTTGAGGAACATCTCATCTTCACATCTCCTGTACATTTTCTGATCACCAGACCATATTTTACCATGGGCTAATATATTTCTCGGCAATAACTTTTTCCCTTCACTTTCACGTAAGAGGCATCCTTGTGCTACAGGCATCTAAACCAGTAAAGGAGAACTCCACTGAGACCCTACTGGAGTGGGTTATGAGTTTACTGGACTTGTGACCAACCATAGGGATGAGGAATTTGAGCTGCTGTAAATAAACAGAGAAATGAAAAACACGTATGAGAGTTTTAACGGATGACAGAATTACAGTCACAAACTGATGACACCTAAGAACTTTCAAAATGTCAATTAATCTGGGTATGGCCCATGAAAACTTCTGCTGTGACAGACGCTGTTTTTAGGAATTGGTTAATGCCAAATATCAATCTAAAACTGAGAAAAATTGAGGGTCACATTAAAAAAAACAAAAACAACACTACATTATTACTGTCTACCCGACTCTGTTAACATCACATGAAGAATGGAAGCCATACCTGAAAGGTTATGTGTGATCTTGGAGACACTCTTCTAATTGCCAGCTGGTGTCCCTGCTGCCACTTAAAGAACAGGTGTTGGGTCTTGGCATCAAGCAGACAGGCTTTATGGTCTCGCATCAGGTCATTGGTGATAAACTTGCAGTGATTCCCTGAGTTCAGTGTGGCGTACAAAAGGAACGGGTCATCCTCTGAGCTGAACCAGGCAGGAGAAAGGACACAATCACACACATGCCAGAAGACTGAAGATAGAAGACAGAAAGTTCACTGTGCTTTTGCTAATTTTCCTTCTTTTGTTGTAGGTGCCTGTGGATTCTTGACTCATATGACCTCAGAGATGATTATTATAAACTACCCAGAAGTCAGTGGCTGGTGGACACCAAGGAAAACCCCAGCAGGCGCTGAGGAGAGGGAATGCTAATTCCCTGACCCTTCCTGCCTACTCTGGCATCTCGTACTCACAGCACTAATGATCACTGCCTGGAACAACACTGCTGTTTCTCTGCTCACCTGATTAGTGCAAGTCCAGGACGCAGGGACTTAGTGTTATTCACTAAAAACAGATAAAGTGCTCATATTTGTTGAGTATTTGCTAAATGACTGACTTAGAATGTCACAGGACATACTCTGTGCATGTGTAATAAGCTCTCTGACTTATCCTTCTCCTATTTCTCCTTTATCCTGATTTAAATGTATTCTGCTGCAGAAACTATTTTTGTAATACGCTGCCTCGAATCTTTTTTTTAAAAATGAGAATGAGTCCACATATACCCTTTGTTTTTATGGTACTGGTGATTAAACCAGGGCCCTTGCACTGAGCTACATCCTAGCCCTCTACCTTGCCCCACCCTCTCAGTTTTTGTTTTGAGACAAGGTCTTGCTAAGTTTCCCAGGCTAGCCTCAAACTTGTGATCCTCCCACCTTAGCCTTCCAGAGTACTGGGATTACTGCTATGCACAAGAATACCTGGTTTATTACATGCATTTATTTATTTATTTGTACCAGGGATCGAACTCAGGACCTTGCACATGTGAAGAAGGCGGCAGAACCACTGAGCTAAATCCCTGACCCTATTACATGCATTTTTTTTTAAAGTGGCAAAAGTAGGTAATTAAACAAGTTAACAACTGGATCCAATACTTACATATTATCAGCAAAAAAACAGTGGGCTTGCTCTTGCACTTTTTCCATCTCATGCCTTCTCCACTGGGCACATTGTTTTAGCATGTGCTTCCGGCCCAGCACCAGCAGTTGTAGATTCTGCTTGGCCAGTAGAGACACAACATCCAAGAGCTAAAAAACACAAAGTCAGCACCAAAAGGTCAAAGGAAAAATCTCAGAGTGATTCTTCTAACTGGCCACATCATGGTGAAGCTCTCTTATCTGGTAAGGGGTAAGAAAAGAGTCCTTAATAAGTTTCCATCTTGAAAGATTGAAGAAATTGTTTCCCTAACACCTATCTCCTGGTCAGGTCACATTAAATCCAGGGTTGGGTTTCTAAACATAGGTAAGTTCAGTTATTGTCAAACAGAGGCCCCTCGAACCCACCAGAATAGAGATTAGGAGCCTCAAGATGGATAGGATTTTATTCCTATACATTCCCACTGTTGTTTCAACCCAAGTAGATAAACCTTTGTATATTTATATATCCTATATATTTATGTTGGATTTTCATCTACTTTTCTGTATTACTCATCTTATTATTTTTTAGAAAGGAGTAACTGTCTTTATTATCCCTAATCATTAGTTCTAAATTTTTGAAAATTAGTTCTAAATTAAGACAGATTGGACATACTGGTCCAATAAATGTGAGCTAGTATTAACTCAAGTAGAAAAGAATAAAGAGCAGTATGGCAGCCCCTAACCCAAAGCTTTACAACTGATAAAATAACATCTGTTTCCTGTGAAGCTAGGAATAATGGCTTCTTTTTTTTCCCAGTCCTGTCTATGTGTAAGAACTGTGGAGTTATTACAAAAATAACACAAAAATTTATGCTTTGAGTGAGGGAATGCCTAATATTTTTCCTACTCAACTATCAGAGCTAGAAGGAAAATACATATCCAGTACTGAAAATGGTTAATAAACATTTTTTTGCCGGGCATGGTGGCGCACACCTGTAATCCCAGCAATCAGGAGGCTGAGGCAGGAGGATCACTGTGAGTTCCAGACCAGCCTGAGCTACATAGTGAGTTCCAGGTTAGTCTCAACTACAGAGTGAGCTGAAACATATGCCCAACATTATTTTGAGTCATAATCTATTATTTTAAAAATTGAGCTAATAATGAAGAACATTTATACCAAAAAGTATGGTTCATGGATTCCGATGCCTGAAAAGGCAAAAATAATGCACCGTTTTAGAATATACTTACTCTCTCTCTCTCTTTTTTAAATAAGGGTGTCACTAAATTTCCCAGCTGGCTTTGAACTAGTCATCCTCCTGCCTCAGCCTCCCAAGTACTTGGGTGTATGCCACTGCCATGGACTCCACTTACTCCTTTTTTAAGACTATGCTAAAATTACAGGTTATTTTCAATGAGTTCAGATATAAAATGGCAACTGGACCTATTAACTAGGATACCAATTAAAAAATTTCCGTATGAATTCTCAGTTATAATAAAGACACAAAAAAATTCAAACAAAAATGCTTTTTGATATTGGTTGGCTAAGTTTCCACGCAGATAGGAAGACAAAGCTTAAAAAACAACAACTGGGTTTTGTAGCTATACAGTGGCTGAGATACACAGCCCTTACTTTAGTAATATCAAGTGAAGGTGGGGGGCTCAAGAAAAAAAAATCTTAGTTAACTACTCTGGGGCACCATCTTGTGGCTGAGAAGTCTCTATTAACAGCAGCTCTCTGAAAACAGGGAAATAAATAAAAGACATTGGAAAGACAGATGAGTGGACAGAAACCTTATGACAGTCCAGCTATAAAAAGCTCACTTCCTCTGGAATAAATTCCAAAGTGGGCTGGGTCACAGTCATATGAGGTATTATCAAAAACTATGCTGAATGCTTAAGTTTTAAAAATTTATTATAGTGAAAGATATACTTCCATTAATCTTCCTCAAAACACACCCCCCTTGCTTCAAACACACTTGTCCTGCCACTTTCTGAAGCAGTTCTGCAGGTTCTCTTTCATTAAGTTATCTTTAGTGGCTACCTCAATGTCCAGATCAATTCGAAACATTTACCTTATATGGTCATTTTGATTTTGGGGAAAAGCCAAAAGTCACATGATACCATGTGAATAAGGTAGATAAAGACACATGTAATAGTTCTACAAGCCTGCCTTTCTGCTGGATGGCACTCAGCAGCAGCACCCACTGTGTTTTTGATCATATCTCATAAAGGCAATCATGAAAAACTTCCAGAATTGCTTTAGAAAGTGGCAAGAACAGGGCTGAGAATTAGGTCAACGGTTTTGCTGCCTGTCTTAAAAGCGCAAGGTCCCACGTTTGATCCTAGGTACCAAAAAAAAAAAAGAACAATGGGATATGTGTGTTTGAAGTCAGGAAGATTTAATAGCAATGTGTTTTTTACTGTAACACATTTAAAAAAAAAATCTTTTGGGCTGGGAATTTGACTCAGTGGTGCTACTGCCTGCCTTTTGCAAGTGCAAGGTCCTGAGTTCGATCCTCGACACAAAAAAACAAACAAAACCTTTTAAACATTTACCATATACTTTCATCACACCTTGTAGATATACTCAGAATAGCAAAGAAAAAGAAAATTTACCTTAATTCTGTTAGGTCAAAACTAAAATTGGGGAGCCAGGCGTGGTGGTGCATGCTTGTAATCCCAGCACTCAGGAGGCTGAGGTAGGAGGATTATTGTGAGTTCGAGACCAGCCTGGGTTACATAGTGAGTTCCAGGTCAGTCTCAATTACATAGTGAGATGGCGGGGGATTTAGCTGCCTGTCTCAATTACATAGTGAGACCCTGTCTTAAAACACACACACACACACACACACACACACACACACACAAAACCCCAAAACTAAAACTAAAACTGGGGGATTTAGCTGCCTGTCTCAATTACATAGTGAGACCCTGTCTTAAAACACACACACACACACACACACACACACACACACACACACACACAAAACCCCAAAACTAAAACTAAAACTGGGAGACAGGTGTGGTTACAGCAGTCCTATAATCTCAGCTCTCTGGGACGTTGAGGCAGGAGGACCACAAGTTCGAGCTCATCTTAGCAACTTAGCTAGACTCCTTCTCAAAATAAATAAATAAGTAAAAAAAGGGCTGGGGGTGTAGCTTAGTGTGAAGGCCCTGGGTTCAATCCTGAAAACTATAAAAAACCCCAATTAAACCAAAACAAAGCAATTTAAAACAACAGAACAATACAAAATACAACTGGACATTATATAAATTAAGCATAAAAAGACTTTGAAAGCCAGGTTAAAAAAAGGAAAACTGGCTAGGGACTTCAGGACACTGAGTGAGACAACCCCTCCATCCCACATATATTCCAGACTTGGAGCCAAAAAGGCAGTTAAACCCAGGTTGTCAAGGCCGGGGATTTAGCTCACTGGCACCATGCCTGCCTTGCAAGTGCAAAGTCCTTGAGTTTGATCCCCGGTACTGCTGAAACAAACAAACAAAACAAATAAGTCCAAGTACAAATGGAAAAAAAAAAAGCTAAAAACAAAACCATGCCAAAGTCCTGTTCCCTGTAGCCAAAGAACAAGGAAAGAGGCAGTCTAGTCAGACAGGAAACTTGGTGAAATGTAGTATCAGTACACAGTGATGCATATCTACAGATATTACTAAAATGCTATACAAAAAGATGTGCTCAAAGATATTACAGAGCAAAAGGAAAATGTCCCAGTAAGGAGGAACAGAAATGGATTTTAAAAATATACACTGGAAGAAAGCCTCTTTAACAAATGGGAAAACTGGCTGTCCACATACAGAACACTGAGTTGAGGCCTATATCTCTTACCACGTACTAAACTAAAATCAAAATGGATGGAAGATCTAAATGTTAAAACAGAAATACTTAATCTGCTAGAAGACTGAACAGGTAAAACTACTGAAGACACATAGGCATAGACAATGACTTTCCGAACAGGACTACAATGAGACAAGAAATAGCATTATGAATCAAATCAACAAATGGGGCCGGGGATTTAGCTTGGTGGTGTTGCTGCCTGCCTCTCAAGTGCAAGGTCCTGAGTTCGATCCCCAGTACCAAAAAAAAAAAAAAGAATCAACAAATAGAATCATATCAAATTATAAAGCATCTGTATAGCAAAGGAAACAAAGAACAGAGTGAAGACAACCTACAGAATGGAAAAAAATTTGCTATCTATACCTTGGACAAATGACTAATTATCTAGAATATATAAAGAACTGAAAAAAAAAAAAAAAAGCTAGATGTGCCAAAAAAACCAATCAAAAAATAGACAACTGAAACAAACAGACACGTCTCAAAAGTCCAAATGGCAAATAAATACATGAAAAAATGATCAACACCTCTGGCCATTACAGAAGTGCAAATTAAAACAATACTGAGATTCTACCTTATTCCAGAAAGAATGGCCATCATCAAGAAATCAAATAATAACAAATTCCAACAAGGCTCTAGGAAAAAAGGAATCCTTCCATATTGTTGGTGGGAATGTAAAATAGTACAACCACTATGGAAATCAGTACGGAGATTCCTCAAAAAACTAAAATTCGAAATTACATTTGGCTTAGCCACTCCCCTTCTAGGTATCCTCTTAAAAGATTAGACATTGTATTACAGAGAAACATGCATATCCACATATATAAAGCACAATTCACAACAGTTAAAACTTGGAAGCAGTTTACAGGTCCATCAACCGATGAATGGATAAACAAAGTGTGACATCTGTACATAATGGAGTACTACTCCGCCATAAAGGAGGATACATTTGAGTCATCTGTAGATGCATCTTGAGACTATAATGTTATGTGAAATAAATCGGACACACAAACCTAAATACAGCATGATTTCTCTTCTATGAGAAACCCTAAACATAAATAAAGAGCAAAGTAAAAGATAATAGGAAATAGGGGCATAGATCTTTTGCAAAAGGGAAGGAGACCAAGAGATAGAGGGAGTACAGAGGGAGGGGCAAGGAAGAGGGTGAAAAAATAATTAAACTGTGATATGCACATGTACTCCCCAAGAAGAATATGATCATTATGTACTGCAAATATGTACATATAAAAGCAAATCTGAGTAGCCCATAGAAAGGCAGGAAAAATAAAACAAAGAGGAAAAAAGCCCAATGACTATA